GAGAGGAAATGATTCTAATTTATGGTGCCCAAAATCAATGTGCTCGGCAAACTGCCGTCACGTTTAACGCCAGACATCTGGGGAAGATAACTAAGCATAAATATTTGTTGTTTTTAAATTTGCTCAAACTGGATCTGTTGCAGATAAAAAACGTGATCATCGGATAGTTTTCGATGAAGCCGCTCGAGTTGAAGTTTTGGGTCATTTTGGAATAAATTAATAGTTCATTACGCAAAATTGTTTCTGCGACTCATTAGGCTCTGTACACACAGTTACTAAGCTCTATAAATTTCATCCGTTCAAAATAAAAATAATGCAAGAGTTAACCGAAGATGATTTTGATAGGCCAGTTGAGTTTTGTAAACAAATGACAGGTACTGGAGCAATCAAAATCCTCATGCTTTCGTAAAGCGGCTTACCCAGTACCCCCAAAAAATTAATGTATGGGCAGGCATTTCCCGAAACAAAGTGATTGGGCCATTGTTTATTAATTGAAATTTGAATTGAGACAATTGTTTGGATATGTTGGGAAATACCATCAATTCTTATCACTGAAACCATTCAAAACCAAATCGAAAAGGATGGAAACCCTATACTTGATGAAGCTGAAATATATTTCCAGCAAGACGGCGCTCCTCCTCACTATGTTCTTCCGGTTCGGCAATGGCTATACGACGAGTTTCCAGATAACTGGATAGGGCGAAAAGGGCCTATAGAATGGCTTGCTAGATCTCCTTATTTGACGCCATCAGACTTTTTTCTATGGGGCCATCTGAAATCCTTTGTGTTTACTCCCCAACCTGAAAGTTTGGATGAACTGTGTAAACGCATTATCGAAAGGTGCCATAATATCCCACAACATGTTGAAAATATCCGTCAGGAATTTGAACATCGCCTATATCATTGTTTGGAAAATAACGGGTAACATTTTGAACACTTATTGACCTAAAAAGTGATATTTCCGTGTGTTTTTGTTTTCTATCTGAACAAATCAAAATAAATAGTGATTTTTCTAATTTCCTTGAAAACGAATCGACTGACTTTAAAAAATGAAACGTCAAAATAAAGGATTTCTAAAGACCTTTCAAACAAGCTATTACTCGATACCACTTGTCACTTGAAATTTTCAAGTGGATAACCCTGGGGGTAGAGGATGAAAGGGAGTGAAGTAGTTTTTGGTTAAAACGTTTTCCCCTTTGACAAATCTTTTGACCTGCGTCGGCGTTTTTTCTTTTAATCAGTGGTTTTCGATAAGTACGTGGGGGGAAATTTTCAAATGAGCACCCTGTATATGCTCTTTCTACGTTGCTATAGTACCGTTGAAAATTATGCTGTCATTAGGATAGCATATTTTGTACCCGAAACATAATCATGTAGCTTCCTAGCCATAACTTTCTGTGTAACTATCCTTACCACTTGACAATCCTAGTTGTTCTATTTCGCTAACGTGATTCCATGATTCCCTTTAGGCTGTGGAGTTGATTGATTTTTGCAAAGATTCGTTTTAGATATATCACAGCATGCCGCATTGGCACAGTTCGTCTATTATCCCCAGAATTACAGGCCCGTCGACCATCCGCATGTATATGTATATATTCGGTGGTCCAGACTTGCTACCGCTACCCGCTGCTGATACTGGACCGAGCTGGACCGGTTTGACAATTTATATGCAAATGAGGGGCTTCGAATTACAAACTGGAAGCCACAACGGTGGCGGGGGAAATTCGATGCCAACAGTCTGATGCCAAATTCTCGCAGTGTTGACAGTGCTTGAGAATTTTCTAGAAAGTTCTTAGGCAAACTACTAACATAGTACGTTTGAGTGAGAAAAATAAAAGGTTTTGCATCTATGAATTCCCAAAATCAATCGTCCTACTTAAGGTCGTTTATATTCCCCAGAATTTCACATGCAATGCGTTCTTTCTATCTCTCTCTCTCTGGCTGGCCAGCAATCCAGCCAAAAGTCTTTAAATTCCTGTATAATGTATGTTAGAGCCATAGACCATATGATTTGTACCCATCCTGGAAGGTGTTGCTTCTGGATCGGCTCTACTGTTGTAATCTAAATTGTAACTACGGCATGTCCGAGGTCCAAACATAGACGGATGAGAGGTGCTCACCGAGGTAATAGTGGGAGAAGATCTGAGGTAATCCAAGGAGATCTGGAGTAATCAAAAGCATTCCGTTGCAATTGCAAGACCTCATATTGAGGCTCATGTCGTTGCTCTTGACATCAGACAAGCTTTTGATCAGATTTAGCATGCTGTCCTTTCACGCAAGCCTCCATCATATGACCTCCCAGACAAGGCATGCAGTCCAGCCGCAAGATATTCGTGGTAATTGACGGTTCCTCCTCTTCGTCCCACAATATCAACGCGGATGTTTCCCAGAGATCAGTCTTGGCAACAGCATCATTTCTATTACATTTCAACTTGCACGATAAATTCCCTGCCCAGCTTTGACGATGACAGCACCCTACATGCAGGCATTCAGTGGGACAAGCCGATCTCTGCAGATGAGTTGGAGAGAAGAAGCCTAATAGCGACTTCCTCTTTGACGAGAGACCTGAACGTTATCACCGCTTGGAGACACAACAATCTGGTACAGTTCAATGCTTCCAAAACACAGTACTGTACACTGACTAACAAAAACCGCTCCAGTGCTCATGCAGTTTCGATGGATAGCCAAATTCGACCAAAGAGCCAATAATTGCGGCTGCTAGCGGTCCAGATTACCGAGGACTTAATTTGGCATTAACAGATTTCTTCATCAGCAACAACTGCCGTCAAAGGGTTAGGTTATTTGTTTACGGCTTAGAAATATTTTGCTCCGCACAACCTCATCACTCTATAGAAGGCCCAGATAAGACCTAGCCTCGACTAATGCTCACATGTTTTGGACTTCACCGCCTCGACTACATTGTCCATACTTGATGTTGTTCAGAGAAGGGTCGTTCGACTGATCGATGACACTTCTCTTGGTTTTGTTCATCAGAGCTCTCCTCCATAGTGCACCGCGCGTTGAGCCTGCCAGACGGACCGCCAGGCTCGTGCCTCCCATCTCAACTCTATCGAACTCCTCACATCGAGAACAGTATGACCGCTTCTCCTTTCTTAGGGTCTCGATATTGTGGAACAGACTGCCAGAGGTAGGATTTCCCATTTGCAATTGTGATAAGGCCAACCTTAGGCAGTTCAAAAATCGAATTAACAAGGCGTGTTCAAGTTCCGTATATCAGTCGCGGTGCCCCGGTATTTTTCTTACTCGACTACTTCAGTAAAAAATATCCAAGATGACACAAGGCAACCTATGAAGGTTCAGGGAGATTGACGATGATCTTCGAGGAAATCTAAAGGAATATGAGCGGAGGCATGGCAGTGATTAGATCCTCGCCAAAACCTCGACAACCTATATTTATGGTTCAGCCTGAATTTTACATTCTGTATAACTATTCCATATAGCCCTTTGCTTTACCTGGTCATTTCCATCTTATATTCTGGTTACAGCACTCGATACCCCATTACATTCAGCCTATGGTGTCCTAAGGCCTCACGGTGATCTGACATGTTGACAGAGGGTTTATCTGTCTCTCCACCCAACAATCGGAAATTATTCTTGTCCAGAGATGGATTTCAACCTATCCGCCCTGGGTCTACGAATACTTCCCTTGCCTGCCGGAGATTTCTGTTACATGTACTTCTTTTCAGTATCAATTTTAAATCTACCCTTCTCTTGTAAATTCATTTTGCTGCTAATCTAATAACCAGATAAAATCTTCAATTGGACCTTGCCTTTGCAACCAGTAATCCCGGAACCTATAATGAGACCTTGCAACGTCGTCTAAACCAGTGTTTCCCAACCTTTTTTTTTTTGTTGAGGCTCCCCGGACTATAAATTATATTTTCATGTGCCCCTTTACTTTTTCAATAGATACAAAAAAACGCTCATTATATAGGTACAAAGACTTCTATTTTAATTCTTTTAAAAGTTTAAATAAACTAATAAATGTTTTTTATCGAAAAACCTGAATAAAAGAAGAGTAGGTACTACTGAGATACTTGAGATTGCATGTTTTGTACCAGCTGGTCGATTCTAGATTCCGTTTTTGCCAGAGCTATCATCAGGTCGCTATCGACGTCAAGATGATTTCGCTATTTTAATTAAAACTATAGCAGAAAAGCCTGTCTCACATAAGTAAGTTGAAGAAAAAGGAACTAGTATTCGTAAAGCAAGAGAGTGACGAATTAACAGGCAATCTTTTGATCCAAAATTTCTCCAATGTTAAAAGATGGAAGTCATCTTTCATGGACGAATCAGCCTTTATTTCTATAAATTCTTCCTGAACTTCTTCTGGTAATTGTGACACATCGGCAACAAATGTATTTCTTGTCATGTGCCATATTGGTGACTCTGAACTGATGTCTCGATAGTATCGGCGAAATTTGTCTTCCAGCGCTTGCAAATGAGTTTTTATGTCAGCTTTTAAATTTGAATCCAGTACTCTTATGATATTTTTAATTGCTTCGAACAGAATCGAGATCCTCGCAAAGTAAATAACCGACTGTTCAAAACGCTGCTCTTGATGTAGTTTACAATCCCTATAGCCGAGTCCAAAGTCTAACGTAATTTCTGTGGCAATGTTTTGGAAGCCAAAGCTTACCGATGAATAACACAATGTGTACTAACCATTGCAGGATTTTTTCCTTGAGCTTTTTAGCTGAGCCCGATCGTACACCTATCATTGCAGGTGCACCATCTGTGCAAAGTCCAAAGAGTTTCTTCCAATCCAAGTCATTTTTTTCAACAAAATTTGATATTGAAATAAATATATCTTCAGATGGAGTACCTGCTGTCAAAGATTGGGAGTATAAAATCTCTTGTTGAATGCTATCTCCGCCGATGTAACGAACATAAACTATTAACTGTGCACAATTAACGATGTCGGTGGATTCATCGCAACTGATGGCAAAAAATGGTTATAATTTTACTTCGTTAATTACTCGTACTTGTGACTTTATGTCTGCTCCAATGACATCGATTCTACGCTTGACTGTGTTATTCGAAAGAGAAATAGACTTCACTTTTTGCTCTGCATCTTCTCCTAAAATTATCTGCGTGGCTTTTAGGAAATATGGTTTTATTAATTCTTCACCGATAATATGAGGTTTCTTTTGCTTTGCTATTTCAAATGAAGCTTTGAGTTGCTGCGATACACCTGTGTGATAACTTCCCGATTTGTCCAGTCTCATCCGCTGGAGTGATTCTGCTTTAGAAGAAAAAACTCTTTCGTCTTCAAAACCAGAGTAGGATGTTGTTGCTTCAAATGCCTTTCAAGGCGATTGGGCCTCATGCTCTCATTACTTAAAACTTTCATGCATATCATACACTGAGGCAATCGTAATTCGTCTTTTTCTATGAAGGTAAATCCAAACTTAACCTACATGTAATTACTAATTATATGCCCATTATTTTATCTTAATAACGTAATGTATTCAACAGAATATTGGCCACCGGGTGATTTATATTTTGTAGGCAGGTTGACGTTATAACAATTTTAAATACATTTTGAATCAATATTAGGTACTTAAAGTTCGTCGTTTCAAAATTATTTCGCCACGTTTGATTGTGTTGTGGTAAGAAAGTCCCAATGGCCGATCTATGAACGCGTCTCCACTCAATCAACAATTAAGTAAATTAAATAAGAATGGTAACTGAACTTTGTAAATACACAAACTTACCTTTTAACAGTGAGACACAATAATTTGACACACTCAAACAGATTTCTCAAAAAACATGTACATCGAAACGTCAAATTTTGTGGGAATGAATGTCACAGATGCTAATCTGCGTCTGGTAGGTACACAATTGTTTTCTAAGTGATGAATGTTAAGCGGAGCGCGGCGGGGGTGCGCGCGGGTTTCATGTTGTGACTTGTCGAATCTTGTATAAACCGCGATTGACGACGCCGGGTTTTAAAACAGCGGTTAACAGAATAAGCGAATTTTATGCGTGTAACTTAAACATTACATTGTAATGTTATTTGTTAATGTTGTTTATTTTTTTTTGTTTTTTCTTTCTAAAATGCAAGCGCTTTCAGAGCCCCTTGACATCTCTCTATGCCCTCCTTGGGAGGCGCGCCCCTCTGGTTAAGAACTCATGGTCTAAACCCTTACGAACCTTTAAATTAAATAGGTATCCCTACCGTAAGCTTGGCAACAGCGGCCACACGCCGCCGTACCATCTAGCGACTCTATTTTAATTTCGAGCATAATTACTGGCTTTATCAAAGGGAAAGTTATGGCGGGGAGCGGTTAGAAGGGCGGAGGCGTTGTCTTTGTGCCGAGGCGCTGCCGGAGTTTAATTTTTGCCCCGGAAGACGACGACGGAAAGTTGAACGACGGACGTTAAAGGCGCTAAGGTGTTATTAGGTGGCAAGGGCGGGGCTGAACTGTGATTGTCGTTCTACAGAGCCTTTTGGGGTGTTAACAGGCAGGAATCGAACTTTGTAATTGTAATAAGGCGAATAGTCCCTATTGATAAATGGGATCATCCAAAGTGTGAGAAATGTAGTCGAATAAGCTTCCTAGCTTGTAAAAGATGTCGTCATATGCATATACTCAATACGGTGAGAGATGCAAGTCGCTTAAATGGGGGCAAAGTTGCGAATTTAAATTTAAAATACTTACAGAGAGAGACGAAAGAAAACAGATTTTTCCAAAACTGTTTTATTTTTTCCTGATTGAATTCAAAATGAATTGCACATTGGCATTGCCATTATGAGAATTTCCATATCACATTTCGGCTCTTGTCCTCCGGCATCTACTTTATGTTTTCTTATTAACGCCGAGTAGAGTTTTCAATTCTGATTCCAAAAATGTATGGTATACATTGACAGTGCCATACCTTATTTATTCGAAAAAGCAGAATTTCCTAGATAGGCCTCGAAATTATCAGACAGTCATTTTTTTACCAGATTCATCGCAAAATTATTTTTTATTTTTCCTGACATTATTTGAGACGGGATTTCAAATTAAATTATATATTGTCATTGTCACTTTCTCTCCTCCACAAGTTGGCCCAGTCAAATATTTTATTCGACTTCCATCACCAACTTCGTTTTTTCGTATGGACGCTATATGCAATATTGGAATTTTGTACATTTAAAAGGAGTTTTCAGTCCTAAAGTCAGTGATATATTTCCTTAATGGGCCATGAATTTCTTGATGGATCAATAATTATAAGGAAATAAAATGGTATGATGAAACCGGAACACGGACTGAATTTTTTTTTGCTTGTAATAATAATAATTAAAAATAAGTAGAGGTAAATCCTAGTAGATGTTTAAAATCTTCTCAGTTATTTTGTAGGCAAGCCCTGACTCTTCTCTATTCATTGTTCACTGTTCGATTAGTTTCCCTTATTCTCACTCTTCCTAACTCAATTACTATGTTCAATTTGATATCTGGCCTGGTATATGAAACAAATGACTGAAAATGCAAGCCCTACCTAGTATATTCAGTTTTCCTCGAATAATCAAGGCACTTTGTCATATTTACTGTCCAACGGCAACACCTTAACGTTGTATGTACATAGACTACTCACACCACAATCATATATTGATGAGTTATTTACAGAAAGTGCAAACCCTTTGTGCAGCAGTATGATTTTAACACCACAATGCGGCATACTTCCTATTCGAAATCAATTTGTTCTGGCAAAAATTACGGAACTCGTCAGCCTCTTCAGATTCTACCCTAAGACCAAAAAAGATCGTGAGTTCATATTAGCCTAGGCAACAGGGAAACATCTACAGACTTTTGTCATATTTCCTCCTTGAACATAGATGCCATTCCATTCACTACGACCTTATTTTCACCTTTTGATTCCTCATATCTTCAGGTAAATGACTTGTTTCCTCAGAGTTTTTCTTCAAGTTTTCTCTTAGACCTCAAAAGAAAATAACGTGATAACTCCGAAATGCCGAAATAAATAATAATAATTAAAAGGTAGTCTAAGCTCCTTTTTCCAGAAAACTCTTCAAAATGAATACTTATTGAAATATATTCATTAATAATTTGATTTCTGAAGTCTTCCGCGCTTTCACTAGACTTTAAAAATCAACTATATAATCCTGAATGGGGCTCTTTTTATATGGATTTTTTGCAATATACCACTTTCCAACAATACGTTGACGTGAAATAACAGCACAAATCGAGTAGCTTTGAAGAATAGACCACAGGACATCGAATATCGATCATAGTACACAGGAGGAAGGAATGGATGGAACTTTTGACAGTGCGGCGTTGCCATATTTTGCAATCTTATTGATCAGAGGAAAAGCATACTCACTGATCGAAAATATTATCTATCAAATCGCCCACAATATGTCCGGATATCAAGATAATTTAGAAAGGAAATGTATATTAAGTGAGTGTCCCACAAAGAACAGTCTTAAGTCCAATGTTATTCAATATATATTTAAATGATATTTTCCAAATTAATTGTGTCGGCAAAATAACCAGTTTTGCAAATGATACTGCAATATTTTATTAAGGCACTGACTGGTCTGATCTAAAAAAATGTAATTGAAAATGATTTTGTCAAAGTTATTCGGTGATTTGATACTGGAAAATTAAGCATTCACTATTCTAAAACACATTTTTTATCATTTGCATCTTATGCTTGACATTCGCTAAATTACACAAATTTCTCCTTCAACATAGTAATAGTCTTGGATCTTCACTTACATTGGGACATCCATGTCAATTATATTTTAAAGAAGGTTAGATTTGTATCGTACAAAATTAAATACCTTTCGAAAAGACAGACAGAAAAATATTTTAGAACAAAATACCATACAATAATTGAACCTCATCTCACATATGGTATATTAGCATGGGGAGCTGCATGTTCATCACATATCTATAAATTATTCTTCAGACAAGTATTCTAAAAATAATGTTTAAAAAACCGAAACCTTATCCCACTGACAAATTATATACAGATGCACAAATGTATGAAATAAGACAGCTTTATTTCTTAAACAGTATCACTCACTAACATAAATTTGTCAACACGACCGACCAAAAAATTGAACAATCATTATACAAGGTACAAAATTTGTACACAGTAGTTCCTCAGCCGCATAAATCTATAATTTAGGGGTCATATCTCCATTTGTCGCCAAAATTTTATGAAGTTATACCTAAACATTTGAAAGATTTACTTTTTGGAGATTATTTCGAAAGAAATTTGATATAGTGGCTATACAGGGTGTCCGCAGAGTTGGGGTTTTCATTTTCAGAAACAACTACCCTTGAAATAACAAAGGTAATGTGTAGTGTAACGAGGGCGACCAAGTAAAAAAAAATAAAGGAAAAAGTACTCACTCTCCAGTTGACGAGAAGGGCTAAGTACGTCTCTGCCCGAAATCATACCGCTCCAACAGAAAATGAAATCAGCTGATGCGCTACCGAGCAGACGCAAGCGGTGGTGCAGACCACGAACAGAGGTAACAAATATGACGGCGTTGCCGCATTTTCAGTTTTTAGGTAAACGTACTTTATAGGTATTGTTCGAAGTTATCGCCGTTTGATTAAAAAACACAGGTGCGTGCACGACGTAGCCAAGCATCGGTGAAGATTTTAAGAATGGAGTCCCTCCCCCGAATGAAAGCACCAGCTTGTTCAATTCTGAGACGAAGTTCGTCAACCGTATGTACTTCAGTTTTTGTACACTAAGCGTTTCATTTCGCCCCAAAGAAAAAAATAACATGGTGTTAAGTCTGGAGATCGCGGAGGCCACGCTACGGGTCCATTACATCCGATCCACCCATTCGGAAATAAGTCATTCAAAAACTCACGCACTCCGCGTCTAAAATGGGGCGGTGCACCATCGTGCAGAAACCACATTGATTGTCTTACACTTAATGGCACATCTTCTAACAAGGAAGGCAAAATGTTGCGTAAAAAGTCTAGGTAATGCATCCCGTCCAATCGATTTGGGAGAATAAATGGTCCAATGAGCATACCGTTCACCATGCCAGCCCAAACATTCACCGAAAATGTTTGTTGAAAATGTGCCCGACGGACAGCGTGCGGATTTTCTACTGACCAAACATGAGTCTTGCGAAAGTTATTCACCCCATTACGCGTGAACGTAGATTCGTCTGTCACCAATATGCACTTCAAAAAGTCCGGATTATTGTCATGTTGATGCAACAACCACTCACAAAACCGCACTCTTGCTGGAAAATCGTCAGGTTGA